CTCAGTCTTGTGTGATTGAGCTACTGAGCCATCTCCCACTTGTGAGCGGAAGCCATGCGGTGCCGCTTAACAGAACAGCTGCCTCACCTGCTGGGGGGGAAGTAGCTCCAGAGCAGCGGTTCTCAGACTGTGGGTGGGGACCCCAAAGTGGGTCGTGACTCTGTTTTACTGGGGTTGGCAGGGCTGAGGTCCGAAGCCCGAGCCCCACTGCCTGGGGCTGAAACCGAAGCCTGAGGGCTTCAGCCCTGGGTGGCGGGGCTCAGGTTACAGGCCCCCTGCCTGGGGATGCAGACCTTGCGTGTTTGCTTTGCCCCCATTGCCCAGGGCAGCGGGGCTCGGCCAGGCTCAGGCTTCGGTCCCCCCCTCCTGGGGTCATGGAGGGGGTCGCGGTGCAATGAAGTGTGAGAGCCCCGGCTCTAGGGCCATGGTTAAGAGCCCAGGCTCTATTCCCTCCCACGGCTGCAAGCTCGGCTCCCCAAATGTGGAAAGACCCATTTCATGGCTCTCCAAGGCCTGGCTATCGGGGGGATTCTGACAGGTTCAGTGATCTCCATAAAGAAATGGGTTCATGAGTTAACTAGCAAGGACATCTCGACTAGGGCCTCGGAATCAGGAGCCAGATATCTTCTGCCCATTGGGGTATTTGGAGCTCCAAAGCCCCTCGCTGATAACCCTGTTCTTCTGGCCCATAGCTGGGGTGGATTATGCAAACTCCCACCCACACTAGTATGAGGGTCAAAGCCAGGCATACGATGCAGGGCAGCATAGATGCTGCTTTGCAAACATTCGCAGTCCATGCGGGATGCAGGGGAGATCTCTGCAGCTCGGTCTTGAGGGGAGGAAATGGGGCCACGGCCAATAGGGTCGGCACATGTGGGGAACTGTACCTTTAAGGGGCTCTGGCAAGAGTCAGTTGGAAGTGAATATTGTGAGCTTCCCTAGAACATTAAGCAATGCTAGCTGTTTAGGACGCAGAGCCTGACCGAAGTGGAGCGCTTTCCTCTCCCATGGCTCAGAGCAATCACTGAACACCGCAGCACTCACTGATCCGCTTTTCCTCGGAGGAGGGAGCAGACCCAGCAGTGGTGGGATGCGTCCAGCTGCCTCAGACGCTGCTCGCGGGTGAGTATTCTGATCGCCCAGCTCCCTTGTGCCTTCCATAAGCAAAACTTGTCTATTCTGGCTTTGCTGGCGGGCTCAGCCATCTTCCCAGCCCAGCAGCAGTGACGAAAGGAGCACTGAGGTGGGGAATGGAGGGTCAGAGAAACCGGAGGTCGGAGAGAGCAGTGGATCATGGAGTCCCTAGTGCTGCCAGCCCCCAGAGCTGAAGACCATCTCAGGAAACAGATGCAGGGTAGCAATGAGAGGATCGCTGTGTTGTACAGAATTTAGATCAATGGAGCCAGCATGGTAGCCAAACCGTCCGTGTGTCCCTCCATACCGCTGGCTGGCAGGTGACCAAGGCCCAGGCAATGAAGTGTGCGTTCACATGCGAATGTTTTTCAGATGAGTCCGTACAAAGCCAATGCTCACCTGCGCCTTTTGCCGTCCCTCTCAACACACTATGGAGACACTCAATGCATTAGCCTCCCCTTCCCCCTCGGAGGAGTGTGATTATCCCTATTTTACAGTCAGGGAAACTGGCACAGGGGGTCACTGACATGCCCAGAGTCAAAATGCAGATGGGTGACAGAGTCTGGGTCAGCATCCCATTCCTAGGCCCTTGCACTCACTGGTGAGCAACACGCTTTCGTTGGCTCAGGCGGCATGTAAAAGGGGAAGTCCTGGACTGGGACTTGAGAACTAGCTTCAATTCTTGACTCTGCGGCAGTATCCCTGGGTGACCTTGGGCAGTCACTTAGTCTCTCTGTGCCTCAGTTTCCCTTCTGTGAACGGGGATGATATTTCTCTTCTCCCACTTGTCTGTTTAGTTTACAAGACAGTCCCTACCCCCTAGCAGGATGTCTTGTACTATGTGTATGTACAGCACCTAACACAAGGGGGCCCCGATCTTGGTTAGGACTTCTAAGTTCTACTGTCATATAAACCCCCGCCAGCTGCAGGCTTGCCTATGTCACGATCCCATACTGCCCGCTTGCCCTCTCGTGCCAGTGGCACAGCGAATAAATGCCAGCAAGGCCGGAGGGGCCAAATGCTGCTTTTCATTTCGCTTGTCCGGCCCCACTGGAGCAAAGGCAGTTGGGCGTAGCTGAGAACAGCCCAGGGCCTGGATACGGAGCTCCCATTGTGCGATCTGGCAATGGCCATAGAGCGTGTGCTCGGGCTTATTGCTTGGGGGCGGGGAGAGACGTGTTGTGCAAGCTGAAGCCCTGTGTTCCAGTCTCCTTTTGTTATTGCATTCGGAAAATCTCTGGCCTCCCAGTTCCTGCAGGAGGTCAACGCCTGCGAGTAACCCTGTAGCTGTACAATGTGGTTCCTGAGGCCGCTCACGTTGTCCGCTCAGGATGGCTGTTCGAAAAATCGTCCAAGGGCTAATGCACTAAAGCAGATTTAAAAAGGCAGCAAGGAACAGGCCAAGGCAGCAAGATGTGCACAGACTACTGAGCATTGGCCTGCTAAACCCAGGGTTGTGAGTTCAATCCTTGAGGGGGCCATTTAGGGATCTGGGGCAAAAATTGGGGATTGGTCCATATTCTATGATAGGCAGGTGACTACTCTCTCAAGTCTTGGGCTGGTGCCTTAACCAGCGGTTGGTCCTTCCTCTCGAACAATGGCTCCTGACCTTGCTCTTTGAGCTGGGGGATTGGAGACGAGGACGCCATAAAGACCAAGAGTCTGAAATCTGAGCCATTGAAAGGGGTTGTAGGAGACGTTTACATTTGTTTTTATTAAAGTCAAGTCAAATCTCCCAGAACGCTGGGGAGAATGATCAGTGTTAAAGATTCAACCCCTTTGTCCTTCTGTGGAAGAGCTGAGAAACTTCCCTGAGTCTTCCAGAAACTGCTTCAGCAAAACTAGAGTCTTGCTATTCCTGGCATTGCTGAGGTCTGAAACCAGCAGAAGACCTGCCCTTGGCACATACTGAGTTCACACCTGGGCACAAGTCCAGAACAACGTTGCAGTTCCCCTCTCCCCCGCCCAGGCCCGCTGTGCCCTCAGGAAGGGTCAATGACCCTGGGACACAAGACTCGAAAACTGGTGCTGCTCAATGTATTCATTGCAGATGAAATCCACCCCCAGTGTCGAGGGCATGCAGCCTCTGTCTTTCTGGATCTGTGTTTTTTATACCAGGCTTTTGTAATGCTGCGCCCCTGGGTGGGTTGTTGGCAGCAGGGATTAAACCTGGAACTTCTGGTTCTTGCAGCATGAGCCTCTACTACCTGAGCTAAAAGACCCAGCTCTGTTCCAAGGCTTGCCGACCTCTGTAGGTGTCCCAGACGCCCCTAGAGGAGTGGGTGGGTGAGTGGGTGGTATGGGCTCCCCTCCTCACCCTGGTGCCTCTGCCCTTCCAGCGTCTCACCGCACAGCTCCAGTGGGATGGCTTCACACAACGGTCTGCAGCCGACGCCCACGGCCATCGCTTCGCTCTGCAGAGGGAGAGTTCTGACTAGCACGCCAGTCATGAGAGCAAGTACAATGCAACCCCATCGTTAGTAAGAATGTGAGCTCCTAGCTAGCCGGTCATTCCAGGAACCCTGCACGACTTTCCTTTTCATTGAATGTTTGCAGTCTTCTCTGAACTTCGTTTCCCTTTGCAGGTCAATGACCGCTAATACCTCCATACCAGAGGCTAGTCACTTTTCCAGCTCAGGATATCTTTACAGAAAAACAATCAGGCTAGATTCCCTGCACCACCTTTAACATCAGGACAAAGGAATTCCCCAAAGGAAGTTCTGTCCTATTTACGAACTGCAGCAAGAAAATCCTGACTGATCAAACGGCTCAGGATTCAAAAGGTTAGCACCAGAAGCGTGAGAGCTCTGCCTTTTGGGAAGAGACGTGAAACTGACCCCCTCGTCTCACCAGTAGGCATACTAAATTCTAACCGGGGTAATGACATTGACTCCTGCAGTGTCCCTGGGACACAGCGTCTTTCACTTCACTGCGTGCTACACTGTTGTGTGCCAAGTGAAGTTCTATGTGTGTGTGTGTGTGTGTGTGTGTGTGTATAGACATATGTCATATGGACTTAGATCGCTGGCTTTTGGCACCCAAATCCGAAAACTTTTGGCCTCTGTAACTTGCCCTTAGTCACTGTCCCAGCCAGTTGAATAGAGCTCAGGAGTGCTTGGCTCCCAGACCTGTGCTCAGACCTGTAGATCACCCCTCTGTGTTATTGCTGTGGTTAATCAGAGCTGTTGTGCGAATCCTCCCAACACCGGTCACCGATTATCATCCGCGCTTTACAGATGGGAACACGGAGGCACAAAGAGACGTGCCCAAACCACGCAGCGAGTCGTCGACAGAGCTGGAGTTCGAATTCAGTATCTTATGATGCTCAGATTCAAGGGTTTCGTTCAATCGTCCAGAGAAGGCTGTCTCTATGACGAGTATAAACAAACCGCTTTCCAGAATTAGTGCAACATCTGATGATGAGGGGCTGATGGGACAGGGGGCACCGGTAGAGGGGAGGCCTTTTGAATCCTGATGGTACCTTTTGAAAAGCGCTTTGGATGGAAGGTGCTACCGGAGGACAAAGCCAGCTCATAACTGTAAAATAAGGATTCTCTCTCTTCTAAGGGCAAACTGTAAAGGGGTGATGGGTAAACCTCTACACTGTCCCCCCTGAATGCTTGTCCATGGGGCTGATCCAGGTCTCAGACCAGCATAAGTCCATTGGCTGCAGTGGTGTTATTCCGGATTTACAGCAATCTTGGGGAAAGAATCAGACCTGTCTAAACCTACTGCCTACTTCGGGCTGAAGGCAGAACAGTGGCTCTGCAAGGGTTAAGGAAGCCATAGGAAGATTAGGAAATGTGTGATGACTTGGATAAGTAAGGGAAGTGGCTCATGTCCTGTCTAGAAAGAGCTCTGTTTGGAATGGGAAAGCAGCTGGTGCTGCAGCAGGGACTCGGTCAGCCAGTCCTTGTGATCTTCCACCTAGAGAACGATGGCCAGGCTCTTCGTGATCTCGCTAGCGCTTATCAGCACGTCAGTGGCTTGTACGTTTGAAGAGTCATCCTTGAACCTCACTGGGATCGTCTGCAGAATGACCAAGCCAGCAGCATTCGTGCGTAAGTCTCTGCTTTATTGGGCTATATTCCCTTCGGGGAAGGCAGGCGGCGGGCAGAGCGGACAGCTACGAGTACATCAGTCCTTCTCCGTCCCTATGTCCCCAGCTAGTTGCATTTATAGTTAAGTCTTTGCAGTCAGCCTGTGGGACCATACTGTTAAGTATCCCATTGAAAGGAGGCGTGCTATGCTGTATCAGACTGCTGGGCCAATGAGGCAGCAGTAGCCTCCCGTGTTAGCCAATGACTGAGGCTTCAGAGTCAATTGTCCAATGCCGTACTTTGGGAGCAAATTCCTTCCTGACCGCTCGGATGACCAATTCATGCCCTGAAGCAACAGATTTACTTGTCATTTTATATCTATACTCACACCATTTAATGACCATTATAAACTTCGCTTTCATAGCTCCAGCTGTTGTTGGGGGTCATGAAATTATCCAGACCCTTTTAAAAAAACCACATCAGCGACAGTCATTGATGTGGGGATGCACGGTCTAGTGGTTAAAGCAGCGGCATGAGAGTCAGGCGACCTGTGTTTGATTCCCAGCTCTGCCACGCACCAAAGGCAAATCACCTAATGGCTCTGTGCTTCGGTTTCTCAGGGGGGGAAACAATGTTTCTCTGCTGCATTAGGGGCTTTTCTAAAGGGGTTTGAGATCCTCCTATGAAAGGTGCTAGTACTTAATTTTAAATACTCCAGCCTTAGTAATGAACGGCGGGGAGGGATAGTTCAGTGGTTTGAGCATTGGCCTGCTAAACCCAGAGTTGTGAGCTCAATCCTTGAGGGGGCCATTTGGGATCTGGGGCAAAAATTGGGGATTGGTCCTGCTTTGAGCAGGGGGTTGGACTAGATGACCTCCTGAGGTCTCTTCCAACCCTGATATTCTGTGATTCTGCAAAGGGGAGAGTGAAAAACAATCAGTCTATTCTTGTTCCCCTGTTCCATAATACAAGCATAAGAAGACAGATGATGAACTTGATGGCTGGTATATTTAGAAGGAAATGATGCTTTATGCCACTTATATTCTGCCTGAGAGACACCATGTGGCTAGAATCTGAAAGGGGATGGATAATGTTATGGCTGTTAATAACATTTTGTAGCTGTGCAGGCCATGATCATGACCCTAGTAATTTCATCTCATTCTCCATGGTATACTGACATCAACTGCAAGAGTCAGGAGCGATTGTTTATCCTCGTGTGCAGAGCTACACACCTGGCTAGGTGCATTAGGCTCTTTGGTTACCTGCCACTGAGGCAGGATCGGATGATCTTGGCCATGCCGTCATGATGGACCAATGGTCTCATCCATTGTGGAAACTCTTCTGCCCTTTTGAGTTGTCTCTGGTGTTTGGGAACGGCCTTAGATCACAACACTGGAACTCAGTGGTGAGATCCATCGCTCTGAGCTGGGTTGATCAGACTTGCGCTGTATGAGGATGATCACAGCTCTCACGAAACTCCCTGCATGATCTGGTCTCATTGTGAAATCTGGGCTGGACGCCCTGTTCCAAAGAACGGATCAGCCATCGGGAGGTGCTACCCCTATGACCTTCCCCTGTGCAACACCCTTAAGTCCGTGTTTTACCACGAAGCTAATGGGAGCTTCTCCCTGCTCGGATGGATGCCAGGTGCCAAGCACAAACGTACAGCTTTTAATTCTATTAGCAAGAGGTGCTCATCTGATTTTGAAATGCAACTGCATTGCGTTTTGTCTTGTCCCTTTGTTCCACTTCCAGTGAACCAGCAAACAGCTCAGGTCATTCAAGCAGCATTCAGACATGCAACCTACCCTGATATCAGTGGGGAAAAGTCCATGGCGTTTCTTGGCAAAGTGACCTATGGGTTAACGAAGTAAGTACGACCGTGCGCTTTCTAAACTCCCTTTTGTACCATGAAATGCAGCAGGCCTATGAATAAGGTCCTGGATGTGCCTGGGAAGAAGTTTTGAAGGGAGATTCAAATTCGCTCAGTCTGAAATCATGGATGGGAGAATGAGGCCCTTTCTGCTCCTTTCCACATGCAAGTATTTCCTGATTAAAATAGAGGCCAGCATAATGTGGCCTCTGCCACTGGATAAGTCACTCACAGCTAGAGATCTAACAACCTACCAAGACTATTTGTGAGCCGCTTCACTTACATTATTGGAAGAGAGTGAAGTGAATGGGGGAAGGTGTCCAAAGGTTCAGGTGACTGAAACGTCTCGGGAGGGTGACTGAATTCATTAGTGATTTACATGCGGCACTGTTTAAACAGCTGTCCAACCCCCACGCAGCGTCCCCTGCCTGCAGAGCTGCATGTAGCAGTTCAGTGTCTGCACCAGGGACTTTGAGAACAGATGGGTTTTGGAGCACTGCCCACATCCCCGGACTCTGAGTCATGCAGTTCACATGAGAATCTGAACTTTCCCAAAGTACGTTGGGCCAGGGCTTCTGATTTGGGCCCATCTCTAGTAATTAACGGTTGCCCACCTAAATGTCCTCTGCTGTTTGAATTGGTGCATTATTCTTTGCTACGCGATGGTGCGGTGTTTCTGTGCGCTCTGTCAAACAGCTGCTGCAGAGGGAGCTCCTTTCGTAGCGCTGCGTCCTTGGGTGGGTTGCAGGCGGGGGGATTGCCCCTGCCACCTCTGTGTCTTAAAGCATGGGCCTTTAAAGGTACAGCTACACAGCAAGCAAGCATCAAAAAACAAACAAAACCCACCCACAGCAGCAAGTCTCAGAGTGTGGGTCAACCGATTCGGGCTCACGCTGCAGGGCTGAAAAATAACTGTGTAGACATTCAGGCTTGGGCTGGAGCCAGGGCTCTGAAACCTGGCAGGGATCTCAGGTTCAGGCCCTCGCTTGAACATCTACACTGCTGTTTTCAGTCCCAAGCCGGAGGCAGTTGACCTGGGCTCTGAGATGCATGGCTGCGGCGGGGTGTGTGTGTGTGTGTGTGTTTTTTTGCTGCGTAGGGCTGGCTGACTGAGCTAAATGAGTCAGCTGTATCAGCCAACAGTGTTTCAGGCTTATCAATCTCTAAATGTGACCCACCAGCCACCGCCAGAGGGTGCCAGAGGGCCACCCATGGGCACCGGTGACACATTTCAGGGGTCGATAAAGCAACTTCTACTTATAGTGAGGTGTTGAGTGTGTAACCACTCTGGCATGAAAGATGCTGTATTCTGTTATTCTTATTATTATTGATCATTTATACAATCCAGCAAAAGCAACTGTAAGAATGCAAGACTATATTATTATTTATTACTCACACAACCAAGAAGAAATGCAATGCTACAAAACAACTTTATATCGTGTCTCTCCTAGAAATTGTCCCAGAGAATGTACGGAGTTAAGTACAATTACAAGGTTAGCAAGAAACAATAACCGAGAGAGGGCCAATGGAGAAAAGAGACGCATTCAGGTCACGCCGGGCATTCTGAATGTATCCACCCTTTTCATTTTCTTCTTTAGCATACAGATCAACGACTTGTCCATAGAAAACAGTGAGGTAGATTTTAAGGAAGATGATGCCATAGACATTGCAATTCAGAACGTGACAGCATCCTTCAAAGGGACCCTGAGTTATGGCTACACCGGTGCTTGGTTGTAAGTATGTAGGAACACAGGAACTGCCAGATTGGATCAAACCCAGGTCCATTTAATTCAGTAGCATGTCTCTGCCAGAAGTAAGAAGCCCACAGTGGACAGATGTGGGGTAATCTGCCCCCACATGCTGGTCTCTAATAGTTAGTGATTGTGCTTCAGAATTTAATATCTCTTCCAACATTATTATTATTTATCATTTTTCATTGTAACTGGATATTCTTGACATCCAGATAAATCTCCAATCCCTTTTGGAATTGTGCTAAATTTTAGCCCCCAAAAGTTTCCTGTGGCAGTGAGTTCCACCATCTAATTATGTGTCATGTGCAAAAGTATTTCCTTCTGCTGGTTTTGAATGTCCCCTTGATCTTGTGTTATGAGACAAGAAGAACAAAAATCCCCAATCTACTTTTTCTGTCCCACTCATTATTGTATAGACATGTGCCCTGTCCCCTTTGTCTCCTCTCTAAGGTAAACAATCCCAGACTTTTCCTAAAGGATTCTCAAAACAATCTGTATCCATTTAATCCTGCTTGGCAATGAGATCAAGCAGGTGGAGGGAGGGTGGGGGAGGTGAGAGAGCTTCACAGACAAGGAGGGACCTGGTCTGAGCTCTGAATAGTGCATCAGTGACCACATCTATTCTTGATGTGACGTCAGCTAGCAACTCACAGTGCAAAGGAACCCAGGGAGTGAATACAAGGGAAGGATGCACATTCTGGGTTATGGGTTTTTTTAAACAATTTCTTGCCCTCTTTATTAAGGGGGAAATGGCTAATGAAGACAGAAATGGGGCTAGTCATACATAATCCATCTAATGTCTTCAAGGTGTTTAGAAGGCACCTATTGCCATTGGGGTCTATGTGCCAGACTTCTATTTCTAGGACTGATACGGCTGCTGAGTGTTTTCCATTCTCTTACAGTGTGAAACTCACCCACTCCATTGATTTTGAAATTGAATCCTCAATTGATCTCCAGATCAACGCTAAACTGAGTAAGTAGCCTGGAATACAGCATCCTTAGCGACAGCTGGATTAACTTCACTGAGCCCAGGGCACCGTGCGTAACCTCTCCTGCCATGCAGTACGAGGAGGTTTTGCGGTGAGACGCTTATAATGGCCCTTTTGTTGCTTATCTCTGTTAGAATAGCAGCGAGTGGCCCCACCCGAGATCGAGGCCCCATTGCATTGGGTGCTTTACAGACACGCGGCGAGAGGCTGACAATCTAACTAGGCAAGGCAGGCACAATGTAGGAGAAAGGAACCCCGTTTTACAGAGGGGGAACTGAGGTCCAGAGAGATTAAAGGGACAGGTTCTCCGCTGGTGTAAATTGTTGCGATGGAGCGACATGGATTTACATTGGTGGACAGCTGAGAATAGCGCTGGATCTCTTGAGGCCATGCCCGGTGCTCTAGCCACAGACCAGCCCTCTTCTCTATTTTGCAGTTTAGGATAACAAAAAACCCACAAACCCATGCATGCATCCGATGAAGTGGGTTTTAGCTCACGAAAGCTTATGCCCAAATAAATGTGTTAGTCTCAAAGGTGCCACAAGGACTCCTCGTTGTTTTTGCTGATCCAGACTAGCACGGGGGCTGCTGCTTGGAAACAAACCCATGGGTGAGTTGCACAAAAAGTTGCGTCAGCTGGGGTTTTGAATCCGGGGAAGCGAAACTTCACAAGAGCCACCTTCATTTTCAGTTAGCTCCTGTTCTGTAGCCAGTTTCTGAGTGCCGTGTAATAAATCAAGTGACTTACTTTATGGAAAATGAGTCAATGGCTTATCCCAGGCTGGGCGTTAGATTCCTTGCTGGCTTCCACATTCTCTCACCATTAGGCCATACTGAACCACCTGGAGGGGGTTGGGTTATTTCTTTGGTTTAAGACACCGCTTCGCTGCTCCAAAGAGCCTCGGGTGCAATAACAGCGTGAGGCACGTGACAACAGTGTGTCATATTTGCAGAGCCCTGCACAAATGTTAAGCCGATTATCCCTTGCAACACGTCATTTATGAACAGGAAAAGCAAGGCAGAGCGAGGCGAAGGGAACTTGACCAAGGTATTGCAGCTAGTCCGTGCAGAACTAGAACCCAGAAGTTCGTGGTGAAACTTCCTACCAGTCGTCTGTCTCATCAGATGAATGACAGGAGCTTTTTGCATGCAGTTGTTTGCAAGCTAACTGCAATGTAGCCAGCGTTGCTGAGTGCACGGAATGATTTGCAGACCTTTTCCCCACAGTTCAGTGGTTTGGACTGGGAGGCTGCGGGAAGAAGTGTGTTTAAAAATCGCTTTCTGTGAAGAAAACGTCTGGTGGAGGAAACACCTCTTTTGGTTGTGGTGGGGGTCGCCATAATATGGGAGTCGCTTTAAAGTCAAAGATGAGCGAGATCCTGGCAGGAAGGGCCAGAGTAGTTGATATTTGCTAGTCCTCTTGGAGAGGAAGCCAGGCGCTCCTGCTCTCAAAACGCTGCCTGGCAATGGGCAAGCGTTCACCCCACAGTACAGAGGGGCAAACAGAGGCCCAGAGAAATGAAGTGACTTTGCCCGCATCACAGAACGAGTTAGTGGGCAGAGTTGAGACACGGGTAACATTTTCAAAAGCATCCAAGTGACTTAGGAGCCTAAGTCCCATTGACTGTTAATAACACTCCGGGGATCTCTGCTGTGTGAGGCCTACGGCAGTGTAGCCACTTGCTCTGGTGATGGGAGGGGTTCTCCTGCTGTTAATCCACCTGCTGGAGAAGCAGTAGCTTGGCTGACAGAAGAATTCTTCTGCGGATCTCTCAGTGTCTACGCCGGGGCTTCGATCGGCTTAACTACGTCTCTCAGGGGCGTGGACTTTTCACACACTTGAGCAACGTAGCGAGGTCAACCCACATTTTAGGTGTAGACCAGACCTCAGACTCCTAAGTGCCTTTGTTCCCTTTCCGATCCATGTTTGGTTTTTGTGTTCTGCAGTGTGTGCAAAGGGCCGGGTGGCGGCCGATACCTCGGATTGCTACCTGACGTTCTATAAGCTGACGCTCCATCTCCAGGGAGACAAACAGTGAGTTCCCTCTTCAAGCAATGCATCCTTGTGCACATGGCAGCTTGCACGGCCCATCGCAACCGTCCCCACGGGCTTTCGATCCCATTGGGCACCCCCCCACGTTTCTGTAACGATATTTCTTCTCCGCAGGCCAGGGTGGCTAAAACAGCTCTTCACAGACTTCATCTCATTTACCTTGAAGCTTGTTCTAAAAGGCCAGGTAAGAAACACAGACGACTAGATGACAGAAAAGCAAAGGCTGTGTCTTATGTCCACAAAGTGCCATATAAGCCTCTGGCATTGGTACATAATAATAATGAAGGGCCTGATCCTGCAAAGATGTAGCCACCTACTTAACTTTATGCACCATGAGGAATCCCAGTGATACTTAGAGGCTGGTCTAGTGGCTAAGTGGAATACTCTGGACCAGCGCTGCCAGGAATAGGTTTGATTCCCAATTCTAGACCCTGGTATCCCGGGACAGCAGGGTTTTGGCAACAAGCTGACAGGCATGGAGCATCCTGCCTTGCTTAGCAGCAACCTCTTCGTGCTGGTATCCAAAGAGAGGGTAACGTCAGACACTTGAGGGTCACATTTAAAAAGCAGGAGGATGATTTTAGTCTCCCAGCAGTGTAAATCAGGAGTGACTCCAGTGCAAAACTGGCGTGAGTGAGATCACACCGAGGCCCCGGGGGCTGCAAGACTTGGATTTAGACACATGGCAACACCAGGGGGAGTTTTTTTGGCCCACACCGATACATTCAATATTTTCCCCTTGTAGGTGTGTAAAGAAATTAACCTCCTGGCTCAGCTGCTGGCAGATTTTATACAGGACAGAGCAGGTAAGTGTTCTGCCCATTTTCTCTTCTCTGTCTTCCTCCTTTCTTAGACACAATCCGCTAAGGCTGAGCTAGACCCGACGGAGACAATGACCCTGTCCCTGCGAAACGGGGATCGAGACATGGCCGTGGGAGGGGAAGCAGCACCAAAACGGCACTAATTGGAATTCCTCCCCTGTGTGGTGGGGGGCTTGGGGAAAGAAACGACGCAGGCTGGAGACGGAGGGTCCATGTACCCTGCAGTTATGGGGTGGGACTTCCACTCGTGTGGGGTGGATCTTCTCAAGCGAGCTTTTATCTAGCTAGGGCTCCAGTGTGGGTTGTGCAAGCCAGCCCTGGCCCCTGGGTAATTCCTCAGGGCTAGTCTACACTTGGAATGCTACAGAGGTGCTGTGGCATTTAGGTTTAGACACTTACTACAACGAAAGGAGAGCTTCTCCCTTCGCTGTACTTAATCCACCTCCCTGAGAGCTGGTAGCTGGGTCGATGGAGGAATGATCCCCCCGACCTGGCGTTGTGTATGTCACGGCTTAACTGTGTTGCTCGGGGGGGTATGTGCATTTTTCACCCCCCCCCGAGCGATGTAGCTGAGTTGACCTCACGTCTGAGTGTAGACCTGGCCTCGGGCAGGTAGTCCCCGAGTTCGCTAGATCAAAGCGAACTTGGGCACGTCTATATGGGCTGCAGTCACACCCGGTGGTTTCAGAGTCGACCTGCTCTGAGTTAAAACAGGAGGAGAGAGTGATTGTTGTGCAGGTTCCAAAGAGACGCTCAAGTCCATCGGGTACGTAAGATTGCGTTAGAAGTGCCTGTGTAACACCAACAGACCTCGGTCGTCAGCAGGCAGGATCGAACCGAGGACCTCAGGAGCTGAGTGCGTGAGCCTCTACCCCATGAGCTGAAAGCCAGCTGGCTGTTAGCTAAGGCTGTAGAGCAGACTCATTTGATCTCTCTCTTTAAGTGGTCTCAGTACCACTAGATGGGGCAGAACGCCACACCCAGGAAGTGTGTGCGTTACACCTGCGTGAGACTTGAGGCTGGATTTTTCTAAAGCCTGTAAATGACTTCAGAGCACAAACCCCAGTGGAAGTCAGTAAGGCTCGTTCACCTACGTCACTTACCCAGAAGTGACCTCTCAGACTGCTGGCAGAAGGGCAAACTGCTCCAGGCTGTCTGGTGCTTGGAGATCCCATGAACCTGGGCCCAGCAGGAGCCTCTCTTCCGTTGTCCCTGTTTCCACACAACGGGCCTCAGGCCAACGACACGGTTCTTTAAGAACCAGGATTTGCCCAGCAGACCTTGCTCCTCTTTTCACCAGGGCCGTTTTGCATGAGAAAAGACAGGTTCTCACATGGGTGAATAGGACAATGGGTCACGTGTGGAGACAAACAGGACTGGTGCCTCTGAAACAAACTCCAGCTTTGGACGGGGTGGGAAACCTGTCTGGAAACACACCAGAGCGTGATTTTTGTGCGTGGGGGGTCAAATGAAAGAAGTCAGGGCGTCGTGAATCAATGATTCGCTGAATGTGAGGAAACCTGAGTTTGGTGCCAATGTTGTCAATAGTGTGATTCTTTTCGCGCCATTCTACTAGCCAGTCCTATTACGGGGCCACCTTCGTGCTGCCTCAGATACTGGACCAGGTCCTGCCCCATGGACTTGCTACGTTTTCTTTCAACTGCCAACGTTGCCGTTAAACGCTGGCATTTACGCCATGAGAGCAGCTCTGGAATGGCATCAGCAAAGCCATTAGGACCAGCGAACAGCTGTCTGTACACTGAACTGATGGCGCGTGCGTAGGCATCCCCATCAGAACGTTCCCCCGAGGCCGCCCTTGCTTGAAATCCCTTCTGGGGTTCCGGCACCTGAAAGCACCTTAGACATTTGTCCTTCTGAGAACCAAACAGAAATTGACAAACGAAATGTTCATTGCAGCCATTGAAAACGACATCCCAGTTTGCCGGGGGCTTCTCCCTTAAGATGAAATATTGACCCCAGTTCTGTGCAGGTTTAAAAGCTTTAGGTGCCACCCTGTAGGAAAATATTTGCCAACGGGGAAAAAATACTTGATAGAACTTGTGCTCCTAAGTCATGTAAAATGTGCTTGAAAATCCCACCCTTCCTGGTTGGCCTACATGCTCAGACACCACAGGGATGGATAAATAATATTTATTAGATTAGTTAGATAGCAAGTGATCTTAAACTAATGCATGAGGCCTGAGAGACTGAAGCCATTCATGTCCATCTAGCTAAGGTTTTTCTATGGCACCCATCACTTTGGAATGCAAGGATTGAGAATTATTAGCTCTGTTTTAGAGGTGGGGAAACTGAGGCACAGAAGGTCCATGGCAGAGATAGTAATAGAATCCAGGTGTCCTGACTCCTAGTACTGTGCTATGTTATCTTCCGATAGTCTGCAGGAGTCAACCTGTTAGTGTTCGAAATGGACTTCATAAATTCTGGCCTCGATCATGTGAAATTGCACAGTTGGTAAAATGAGTGGTTTTTATTTTTTTCTGCAGCAAATTTCCTCCAGGATGGGGCTATAGGAGTAGATATTTCACTGGCATCATTTCCAGTAATAAAGGCAAACTACATGGAATCGCATCATAAGGTAAAGTAATTTGGGGGGGAGGGGGGGCAAATGAGGGACGGGGCATTTCAGACTAATTTCTTCCCAGTTCTCTTCTCTGTCCCACTCCTGGAGTGGAGATGGCTAGAAGGCAGAGATGTCTAACAGTTAGAGCAAGGGCTAAGGAAGGAAGACTCCAGAGTTCTCCTGCTGGTTCTGCTTCTGATTCATTATATAATTGAAGTCACTTAATGACTCTTTGCCTCAGTTTCCCCACCTATGAAATAGGGATAATAAATCCCTACTTCCCAGGGTGCAGTGAGTTGTAAGGCCCCCAGATTAAAGGTGTTCTAGAAGGGCAGAGTATTCATTTTTCTGGGACTAGTCTTCCGGGCCCCCCAGCCAGCACCACCTTAATTGATCTCTTGAGGACTCCCCCAGTGTGCAGGTGAATCTATCCCGCCTCCCACATAGGATGGCTAGCTTGTCACAAGGGGGTGTGGCTGAAGCATTACTGGGCTCTCGCCGTCCCTACCTGGCATAACAGTCCCTTGTGGCTTCAACCAGCTACTGTGATTTAGAATGGTCCTTGAGCTGCTCTCATCTATGCTGGGCATGGGGCCAGCATAGACTCATCCCTAAAATCAGGGAGCTGCAACTGGCTTCTTTGCTCCACCATGCCTCTTTGGGATTAGATATCCATGCTGGCTACACCCTGCACATATTGGGGGTAGCTGATTATTTTGCCCAGGCTGTATAGTGCCCCATCTTCCATCTGTGTCTGCTTAGCTTATCCTGTCAGGCTTTAATAAACACAACTAGCCCTTTGCATTGCAAACCAAGTATGACGTGTCCAGGTGAGGACAGCTGGTTAATTGGTGGTCACCAGCAATGCATTCTCTTTCCTTTTAAGGGTCTGCTTTTGTACAAGAACTATTCAGTCGTCTTCAGTGATTCCATGTTTGCTCCATCTCTGCTCTCCGAGTCCAGGATGCTATACTTCTGGTTTTCAGACCAGGTCCTGAACTCTCTGGCCTTGGCAGCTTTCCTGGATGAACGTCTGGTGTTAACGATCACAGGGGAAGAGTTAGGGGTAACTATTACAGGGTTATTTTAACTTTTTCTCTCGCTCAAATAGTATTTTGCAGCCCTTTCCCCCCACCCTACTTTGGGGAGAAGGTAAAAATTCTCAGAGCATTCATTTGCTGTGCAATCTGGTTCCAAAAGAAGAAGGGAACCTACAGTGAGATACAGCCTACAGTGCGATCATAGTCAGAAAAGTGGTACCTTCTTAGACGTCCATACCTGCTCCCTGTGTGTTGGTTGATGAGTCCTATCTACTAATCCCCTGCAGACCCCAAAGAGCTATGGGAAAGCAAAGTGGATTCTATTTTGTTTCATGGTAACAATACACTCATCTTATTTTCTGGATTGTGGAATCTTTGCCATGAGTCTAGCTGGATTTTCAGATCCTGGGGTTAAGTCTAGGGTAGAGGTATAACACTGGTCCTATGGGAGGGTTGTCAGCAGTGGGGGTTGAAAGTGAGAACTCAGGATCTAAACTTCTGAGCTAAAAGTCTCAGCTGTTAAGCAAGGCTGTATCAGCAGTGTTTGCCACTGGCTGTGTGCGACAGAGTGGGTTACACTGGCAGATAGAAAATTAATCTTTCGACTTGTAAACTAAGCAAAATGTGCGGTGGGATCATTGGGAGAAAAGGAAATCTGCAACCTCACAGTGTCTTACACGGAGTCACTTTATTGGCTATAACCACTCTTAAGACAGAAAAAAGAAATCCTCAGAAAACAAAACGCTGTGGGTCTTGTTTTCCCAGCATAGGGCAGAAGAGAAGGTGTTACAAGACCCAAAATACCAGCTTGCACCACGCTTAGTTCTGAGTAGACAAGAGCACTTGGTTTATTGCAGCTTAGACTTGGTACTGGGTTTGGGCTCTGCTTAGGGGAATGACTGTGATGAAGAGGGAAAATCCAGTGGGTGAAACCTGCAGCGGCCGGAGTGAAAAAGCACAGACAAAGAGACAGGGGTAGGAGAAGAAGCTGACGGAAAAATTTGCTGATGTGGGGAACAATGTATTGTAATTTATCCTACTTTTAATGAGAGCAAAACCAGAGCCTGGTTCAGTGGTAGCAAAGATCTCCAGCCACACATTGTTCCTGTGATTGGTTGGTTCAAGATAGACCATTGCCCTGTGGTCTCCAGGGGCTGCCCTTCCTGTTACATATTAATTCAGCCGCATTTTAGAATTCCTTGGGAGTTGCCTTCAACCTACGGGTATTCTTTGGTCCCCCCGCCCCCAGTTCTGGTGACACGTTGGGAACACATTGTGCTCAAGCCAACTCATAATTTCATTGTTGTTGTTCCTTGAAGGAGATGTTTGAAATGGAAGACACGGAGGCTCACCAAGGGATTGTGCAAGAGGTAACCATGGAGCTGGTTCAGAGCTAACTTTATGGACCATGGCACTGTTGTTTATTCACTTTACTGTTTTATATTCCATTAAAAGAAAAACATAAGGAACGCCCTTCCTGAGCTGGAAGGCGATGACCCAGCTGAAGGTCAACGTCTGCCCTGTCCAATTGGACTCAAAAAGTCTAGTACAGAACACAGAGGTCCTGATTCTCCCTTGCCACACGGAACCACTGGGAGGGGAGGGGGGAACAGGCTGGAACAGGTTGGGGCTGGGTGATTTGCTACTATGCAGCATCTTGGGTTCTTCCCCCTCCCCACCATCTCTAGGATGCTGGGGGAAAGGGATGCAGAGGCTACTTCGCCCCTTGGGCTGGAGGAGCAGCTGTAGAGCTGGTGGGGAGGGAGTGGATTTCTCCAACCCCCATCCCTGCGTCGTTCCCCCAGGGTCCCAACTGAATTACTGGGGGTGGGGGTAGCACTGAGAAGAACCTGGGGCTATAAGGGTTACAGTGTGTTGTCCGTTTAGGTTTAATGAGGGGCCTTGAGGTTGGGGTGGGCCCTCCAACCCTTATATTTAATTATTCATTTGCATACACTTAAGAAATCAAGTACCATGTCCCGAAGAAAAGCCTTGAGCACTTAGTCCGTATCCTGTCCCCCTTGTGCCCTGCAGATTTTTCAAGGCACTTCTTATAATGACTCGCTGGCTAAGGTCTGGAGTCTCACCCCTCCCCAGATCACCCTCCAGCCTGAAGGGACCATTGTGAGGTCATCGGTTGCCGTGGAACTCACCCTTTTCTCCCAAGGAGCAGAGCCCACAGTGGTGTTCTATTCTGAGAAGGTCAGTTTCTTATTCAGTTAATCGAGGTTGCAAACTCCTTGGGGCAGGGACCATGTCTCACTCTAGGCTCTGTATTGCATCACAAATACTCTTAGTGCTCCACCAATCAAACCAATAATAGCTTTAACGTTCGGTCATTACGTTGACATTGTTTGGAAAGGAAATGCGTGCTGGGGGGGTGCAGACAAATAGCAATCTGAAGTTGTTAGTTTCTCCCCCCCATTCTCTCTGAGGCTTGGGGTTTGTCCTCACCAGCCAGTATAGCTTGGGTGTTCCTTGACCCCCATCCACACATGTAAACCTGGACCATGACGTTATTTCTAGAGAGTCCTGTGGGAAAAGTGTTCAGTAGTGCGTTATATTAATGCTGACTCTGTGGGCCGTACACATCTCTGGTCTGGAATTCCATTGGCTTTATCAGAGCTACAGCAGAGCCCAGTGCATGTGCGGATGGGACTGTAAGGGTTTGGTCAGTGCTGTGTGCCTACCCATACAGTACAGGCGGAATAAATAACGCTTGTTAGACACGTACCTCACTGATCAAATCACAGAGCTTCCATTCCCAGAGCTCCTCGTAACGAGGGACTCAACAGGATTTTACCATGCTGAACTGGCAAAAGGGAATGATCTTGATTTTCTTCCTCCAAATGAATCTGGTGATGAACCAGACAGACCATGTGACTGTCTCTTTCTCTTCACAGGAAGTCACTGTCACAATCCAGTCTGCGTATGTAGAAAAGAAACTGGTTTTGCATCTCGCTGACTCTGTGTAGGTACTGGTGTCTCTTGTGCATTGTCACCGGTCTCTTACCTCGCCTGTGCTAGCTGCAAGGAAAAAAGGCCTTTTCAGATGCTTCTCACTGACTTTATTTTTTCTTGGTTAATATTTTCCTACAGGATAGAGCCTAAAGTTTTTAAATGTGCTTTGGAGAGAGCTGGGGTAAGTAGAGCATTTAATCTCCAGGGAAGACGACTTGCTAACTCAGGGGTCATTATAGATCTCTGCAGTTGCCCCTGTTTTCTGTTTGATTTTCAGGATGACAAATCTCTAAGCCACTTCCTGCAGAGAATCATCTCCGTTGCGGGAATCCCAGAAGTGATTTCAAGTGAGTTTATGCTCTGGAGAAAATTCTGGCAAAACGTGCACTGTCAGTTCTGTTCTCGAACAGCCGTTTGAAGTGGCTGCACGTTGTTTCTGATTGTTCCATGGTTGCTGTTCAGAACTGAGTTGTTTTCCATGGAAAATTTTGACTTTTTGGTGAAAAATCAAAATTTGAAATACTTTGATTTGGAAGTGCAGTGTGGGAGTTGTCGTTTGGGTGCTTCCTCTATAGATCAGGCTCCCTGGTTGGATTACACTGACCATGCTGCGCCCTTTCTCTTCTTGGTGCGGAGAAGTGGTGCACCATGGGAGCCCCTGGCTGTAGTGCATCATGGGAGATGCTCTCAACCCTCTTAAAAAGAAAAGGAGGACTTGTGGCACCTTAGAGACTAACCAATTGATTTGAGCATAAGCTTTCGTGAGCTACAGCTCACTTCATTGGATACATTCAGTGGAAAATACAGTGGGGAGATTTATATACAAACAGAACATGAAAAAATGGGTTTCAGAATAACAGCCGTGTTAGTCTGTATTCGCAAAAAGAAAAGGAGGACTTGTGGCACCTTAGAGACTAACCAATTTATTTGAGCATGAGCTTTCGTGAGCTACAGCTCACTTCATCGGATGCATACATGCATAATTCCAATTCAGCAGTCTCTCATTGGAGTTTGTTTTTGAAGTCTTTTTGTTCTAATATTGCGACCTTTAGGTCTGATATCGAGTGACCAGAGAGATTGAAGTGTTCTCCGATGTAATATAACATTCATAAACCAGTCGGAGAACACTTCAATCTCTCTGGTCACTCGATTTCAGACCTAAAGGTCGCAATATTAGAACAAAAAAGACTTCAAAAACAGACTCCAACAAGAGACTGTTGAATTGGAATTAATTTGCAAACTGGATACAATTAACTCAGGCTTGAATAGAGACTGGGAGTGGATGGATCATTACACAAAGTAAAACTATTTCCCCATGTTTATTTCCCCCACCCCCCACTGCTTCTCGGACATTCCTGTTAACTGCTGGAAATGGCCCACCTTGATTATCACTACACAAGGTTTTCTTCCTCCCCGCTCTCCTGCTGGTAATAGCTCATCTTAAGTGATCACTCTCGTTACAGTGTGTATGATAACACCTATTTTTTCATGTTCTGTCTGTATATAAATCTCCCCACTGTATTGTCCACTGAATGCATCCGATGAAGTGAGCTGTAGCTCACGAAAGCTTATGCTCAAATCAATTGGTTAGTCTCTAAGGTGCCACAAGTACTCCTTTTCTTTTTGCGAATACAAACTAACACAGCTGCTACTCTGAAACCTAAACCCCCTTAGTCTCTTTGGAAAATCTTCCATCTAATCACAGTGTACCAAGTACATGGGGCAGTACCTGATACAGTATCTGAGGCAGCACTAACGTGGTTAAATAATAATAAAGTGGCCAGTAAAGTGGTGTGAAAAAAGTCACATCATTGGCAAACTTGGCACAAAACTGAGTTTCCCTTAGATTCAGTGTATCACTGATTGATTTATGATGTACTTTTATCAGACTCATGAAAAAAATCACACTCTGGTGTGTTTCATTTGTTCATGTTTTCCAGCATGTTAAAAGCTCCTTGGTGTGTGTGTGTGTGTGTTTCGAAGGCACAAACTAATGTTCATCCCCATGTGGGATCCACATTCCTATTCATCAAGATGAAAAACTGTCTTCCCTGTGCAAAGTGACCCTTGTGAAAAGAGGATCAAGGCCTAGTGCACAAATGTTGGCGCTTAAAAGCAATGGCATTGTGGAAACGGGCCCATTGTGTGAAAATAGGGACAACTGAAGTTCACGTGATCTCAGAGGTATCACACCCAGCCTGGGAAGTTTGCCCTTCTACTATGCAGTCAAACCGTCTCACTAAATGTGTTTATTGTCGAGGGAATAGCAAACCACCGTTAATGGACTTATAACGGGATGGTTTTATTGCTTTCGTAGGGATTGAGCCAGCTTTAACTTCTCTGATGAACAGCAAAGGACTCAATCTATTTGAAATTAAAAATCCTGAGATCATCACAAAGGAGGTAAGTAAATTTACATCCACTTCTATGTACAGAGCACTGCAAGCTTTTTGTAAATGTGGTGTGAGCTAGTATAACTGGTCTCTCTCTTTCTTTATAGGGATACCTAATTATACAGCTGGACTTTGGCTTCCCACATCATTTGCTTGTAGATTTTCTTAAGAAAACATTATAGAAGGAATCCATTCAGAAAGGAGTGCTGGAATTGACTGTACAAATAGAAAGAATGCATGTGACCCAATAAAATTATGTCCTTTTTTGGGGTCAACTTCCTTATAACCCAGCCATTAAAAGTGATATTGTTGCTTTAAAAGTCTTAGGTGATTTTCTGTGCATATGAAAGTGAACAGCTAAGTCAGTGGGTTTGGATCAGGCCCTACTACCTAGTGCCGGGCCCAGTGAAGGATTTAACTGGTCCATTTTCATCTCTGTTGATGTATCTTAGACATGCAGCGTTTTATTGTGCTAGTCCCAGGCTTCTTCTAGCCACCAGTCATATCAAAGGGTGTAGTGTGGTGATATTGACAAACCTGAGAGATGAGACCACCAGACTTGCTTAACTTCCCGGAGAGTAACGTCAGAAGCAGTAATGCCGAAATGTCTAGGCATGGTATTTGTACCAGTAAGTTGGATATGACTTTGAAGTGTAATATGGCAGTCTCAATGACTGATGCTTATATAGAGGCATCACATCCTGGGACATGAGATGATGGGTATAGTCCCTTGCTACACCGTTTGCAACTGGTACAGTGTGTTCAGTTATAGCCATCTCAGTAACAGAGGGATGGTGATGCCAGTGGTGCAAGTTTACAAGCAGCAAAAAGAAGAGACTAGAAAGAGCACAAGATACGAATAGATGGACCCCCCAGAACCATGCATTCTTTCTTATGCTCCTGCAGTGCAATGACATTTTGGTGCCGTTCAATCTCTTTTTTATTTTCTTTTGTACCAATTATATCTTCTTTCCAGCCATTGTGTTTCTATGAAGCTTTCAATATGGGGGAAAAAAGCTCAAAAGCAAAACAGGAGGAACAAATACTAAAATGCAATGCCAAGAATCACAGGGTTATCACAATAATAAAAATAGGAGATTGGAACTCTCTCCCATTGCACGAAATCATATTAAAATCAGGGTTTCTCCAAGAAGTTTGAGACCCCTTCCCTCCCCCCACTAGGGGTCATGAAATGTGAGGTTCCATTTCTGCTTCTGGTGGTATGCTTTCATATTTATGTGGCAAACCCATGTGGAGAGGCCATGTGGTCTAGTGGCTAGCGCAAGAGACTGGGCACTGGCTGGCCTGGGTTCTGCACCCAGTTCAGCTATGGGCTTGTTTGAGTGTGAGCAAGTCACGTCATAGCTCTGTGCCTCAGTTTCCCCATTTGTTGAATCGGGGATTTCTTGAACTCACAGGAGGGGGTTTGAAACTTCACTAACTGCTGCTGAGATGGTCCAAGGAAAGGTGCTATTGAGATAACTCAGCAAGTTCAGAGACGCCAGGTGGTTTTAGTCAGACAATCGCTGGGACTCCTCTTTAGTCACCGCAACGGGGGATTGGGTGAGCTTCTTCCCAGGCAGCCATGTGGACAGGAAATAGCCCTCTCTGAGGCCTTGCTGGTGCTGGGAGAATCCTGCTAGTTCTCACTGGGGTGTTTGTATATTTTAAATAGCTCTTGTAGCACAGACTCAAAGTCATCTCTTTCGCAGCCAGCAGCAAACACTGTGGACATGAAATAACACCCCCCCCCCCCCCCCCCCGTGGCTGTGGCTGGGATCCCAGGACTCTCTTTCTCTTTATCTCTCACCTTGACACAAAAACTGCAAGGCAGTGCCAGGGACTTCCCAGCATGGTCAGAAACAATGTTCATGGTACCAGCCTAAACAGCAGTGGGCTGGTTTCAACCTCCGATTACCTCCCCCTCCCTGCGGCTGGCCAACCCCACTCTGCAAGCACACCAAGCTCTGCCACTTCCTGCTGCTCGGGGCGGGCTCGCCCCGCTGACGGGCCAGGCGATAGGGGCACTGCTGGGTTTGGCTGGGCTAGCTCAAGCAAAGGTAACGAGGCTGTGCCTACATAAACCGCATTCACATTGCTTGCGTTACAGTGTAGACATAACCTTAGGTGGAGCAGGGTGTAGTTCTCAGCTGGAGGAGACCTCCCTGCACTAGGCCGGATCCAACTAGAGGGTGGAAGTGGGAGGGGCGAGCCCCCCGGCAGGATCCCCTCCCAGACATTAGGTGCCTATAGGTTTGCCCACGGCTCAGACTGCCACCCTACGTCCCGTCGCTCGCCTGCTAGCTCTGGCAGAGTGGCTCAGGTCTGTGTGTCCTGGAGCTGGGGATCCTGCTCCAAGCCTAGCTGGGCCCTTTGTTACCAGATTTGCCCGTTACTTGGGGGTACGCGCATTTATTAGGGTTACTCTTTGGGGTGGTATGTTTCTGTAATTCTATCAATGTACTTCTTGGGTCACGTGTGTTTTCATATGGAGCTCCACTTCTCCCTTCTGCAAGTTCCCTCCCAATGGAGCTATCCTGCAGGACCTAGCTTCCCCAGGGCCGGGTTCCTCCAGCCCCAGAATCAGAGGAACACACACACACATTAACAGAGCGAGTCTGAGCAGACCGGGACAATCAGCACTTCCAAGCTGTCACCCTCATATGCCCCAGGTTCAGCATGTCCCGATCCCCAATTTCACGTTACAATTGTTCTGGTCATAACCCACTTGATGAGCAAACCCCACAGGATTTTTGGGCGCTACAGGGATCTTTAGCTTAGGTAAGAGGAGCGTTGTGGCAGAGCGAATGAGGAAACCAAAATCACAAGAGAGAGCGAGAGAGGGAGGGAAGGAAGCAATCAGCTTAAGCATTCAAGTTATTTATTGCCAGGTAATAACCATCGGGAAACCAACCAAACAAAACAGTTACAATATTAAATCTAGCTTAAATTTGATTACCAAAGTATAACTGATCGCACAAGTCAGGGTCAGAAAGTGATACCTAGAGTAGGGAAAAAAAACAGAGAGAGAGAGAGAGAGAGAGACAGTTGGGTTCTCACCGCTCCGTGAAGTTTGAACCAGGTGGTGGGGGTAGCTGAGGGTCTGGAGTGCTGGAGACAGGCAGAGCCCCCAGCATGGTCAGTCAGGAGAAGATGAAGTCCCAATGGAGCTGATGCAGATTTTGGATCCAGGCATCAGAACACTTACTGGAGCGTGGGTAGGGGTTTTTGTAGGGAAACAACAATGGTTCAAGGGAGACATTAGATCTGTTTATGGGTAAACTGATGGCTCAAGGGAGGAAAGCAACGTTGTTTTGTTCAGGCTAGACAATAGGAGCTGATCATTCCTGGCTATGGGCGGTGTTCCTTGGAGGGAGCTCACAATGCAATTAGGCAGCTTCAGTCTTTTGGATACCAATTTCTTTATTACTAGAACTGGTCTGGTAAGGACTGAGCTGGGTGTGTGCAGGTGTGGGGTCATTAACATCTGGAGCAGAGATCCCCCATCATGCAGGGCTTCCCGGCTTTTCTGGTGCCAGAGTTCAGTGCGGTTCTTGCCTTGGAATCTCTGTTCTCCATTCTGTATGCTTTTTGTAAGTCTTTCTTCTGATCGGTTTTGGTTCAAGAAGAGGCTGGGGGAGGAGGGGGTGCCCTTCCTGAGTCAGACAGGATGGATACTGCAGCTTGGTTCCCCAAGAACACAGAGCTGACAGGTAACACCTTAGAAACCTACTTTGCAGAGCAGGGTCCCCAACAGCTGGTGTTTCTAAGTGTTCCTGCAGATCACGCCCCCTTTCCCCCTTACGATATCTTCTGAACACCCTGCTGAGTGCTGCTCACCATCAATATACTCCGGAGGGGACCCAGGAGCCATGCCCACAGCCAGCCCAGCGAGGTTTCGGATTCGCTTTAAGTGGATAAACAAATAAGAGGGGTGTGCGCAGGCGAGAGGGAGAGACGTGCTCTCCCTTGGGCATACAGGGTTTCACAAACACTGGCTTTGCCCTCCGCTGCCCAGCATGTAGGATGAGTTTCAGGGCCCGCAGACGAAGAACCACCTGATAAGCCCTCAGAGGGCGGGGTGCATGGCTCCCTGCACTTTTGGCTTCTCTGCTGCTGATCACTGAGGGGATAATCGGTTTGGCCTCGCACCTGGGGCTCTCACGGGCCTTTCCAACCCTACTGAATTAAACCAGCCAGCCCCTGGAGGCAGGATCTTCCAGGGAACACAGGGGGGTGAAAGGACTGGGTCAGAGTATCTGTGATTCTCTTTGAGCATGACCAGACACAAGTGTGAAAAATTGGGACGGGGGGGCGGGTAATAAGAGCCTATATAAGAAAAAAACCACAAAATCAGGATTGTCCCTATAAAATCCTGGTACATCTGGTCACCCTATTCCCTCTCCTGTGTCAGCCCTGTGCTGGACACACCACTTCAGGGACACTGGCTTCTGCAAAAAGAGCGGATTGACAATTTTTCACTGGAATATTTGTTTGACAAACGGCTTTCTTTGACTAAATGGAATTTTTTGCAGGGGGGGGAAATCAATTTTGGTCTAAAACATTTGGGGCTTGCCCCCACATCCCGGGCACCCGGGAGAGCCCCTCCGGCTGCTCACACTACCCCCGCTCCGGTCCATCTGTGCAGGGCTGTGTGTCCTGGAGCTGGGGATCCTGCTCCCAGCCTAGCTGGACCCTGACAGACACCTACACTGCAGAGAGCAGCGTCTCCACAGACAAGCAAGCCTACGCCGCAAACCAAAACCCAACCGCAGCCCCACGATTTCCCGGCCTCTGCCACCTGCAAAGCGCCCGTTCCGGCAGCTTTTGGACAACTGGCCGGGCCGGGGGGGGGGGGGGGGGTTTGCTTTCCAGGGGTCCCAGACCAAATGCCTCTCGTAGCTGGGCACCTTAAGAGTTTGGCCCAGGTCTCCGCCGGGTTGCCTGGGAGGCTGCATGCCGGGTTTCCAACCCCTTTGAGCGCTTGGCATTTACACCTGCGGAGGGAGTATTAGAATTCGGATTAAGCGAGGGTCCGGGGCGGGCCGGAGCCCGAGCCCCGCGCAGCCCTGTCTTTAGCCGCCCTGGCTCGTACCCTCGACGGGGCGGAGCGCGGCCGCGGGGAGCCCCCGGTTCTCCCCCGGGCTCGCCTGCCCGGGCTGCGGCCCGCGGGCAGAGGGGGATGCCCGGCGTCCCTGGGCAGCGGGCGGCGGCCGGATCACATGGTTTCTCGGAAGCGGCTCCCGCTACAGCACCCGGGCAGTTGTTTTCACTTTCGAAGGGGGCGGTGGCTCCAGGGTGGGGTGGCGGGGCGGTGGCGCCATGAGCACGGAGCGGGGAGCCCGGCGGAAGGGGCGCCCCACGGAGCGGGGTGAGTGTCTCCCCCGAGCCGGTGCCGGGTCTGGTGCAGATGTGGGCACGAGCGGGCCCGGGGCCGCCTTTGCTGCCACCCGTCCCACCCTGCTCCGGGCTGGGACCCCTTCCCCGCCGCCCTGCAACCCAAGGGGGCCCCTGGCCCCTGCCCTGCCCCGGGGGATGGAGCTGAGGCTAGCCAGTGGGTGCAATACACCCCATCGGGGACTTTCTCCGCCCCCGCTCCGTCTCTGGGGGGCCGCCGGAGCCCCCTGGCACAGAGGGTGCCTTCGAGGCGCCCTTCTCCGCATCAGCACACGGGGGTGGGCCGGCTCCCCGCGGGTGGGGCATGAAATCTGCCCGCAGACGGATGCTGAAGAGCGATTCCTTGCAGGGAGGGGCTCCCCTCTCCAGAATACAGCCTTTAGTTCAGAGCCTGGTTTATGGGATTTCTGAGGTTAGATGGTCCTAGGGTAGGACAGTGGGCGAGGGCCACTGTCACCGGGTGCTTAGCCCATACAGAGCCTTTCCTTGAAACAGCTGGGTGAAAATCGTGCCAGGCTAATATTCTGTTCTCTGAAGCTTTCAGTGACTAAATCGGTCAGTGTTGCAGCTAGCAAAATACTCCTCCTGTTGTCCCTGTTATTTTTTCCAGCCGCTCTTTCAAGCTCTCTCCCCCTAGATCTTACTGTATT